GAGAGAGAGAGAGAGAAAGAGAGAGAGAAAGAGAGAGAGAGAGAGAGAGAGAGAGAGAGAGAGAGAGATCCCTCCTAAGTTTGGAGTTTACTGGGGAGGAAGTCTCTCAAGACAGTGCTAGCACTCTTTTGATCAAAAGCCCATTCTGGGACATTGGGACAAGAGTCCTAGACTTGTGGCATCTTACTGCAATCTTCAGTTCTATTTTGTCAAAGGTATTTTTCTAATTCCTCAACCCTTTAATTTTTGTCTTGCTACTCTGTCACATTTGACACTTCCAGTTGCTGCCTAGGAAGCTCTCCTTTCTTCTCTGTGTGCCATTTTCCCGGCGATCCTTGGATATCTCTGACCAATCCTCCTGTGGCTCACTTTGGACTCTGCTTTTCGCTATCCACTATTGGACTACTAATACTTTCCAGATTCAACCCCTGCATTTCTCACTCTACACACTTGCTGTGGTTGATAGCACTCGGGTCACCATATGAGTTACTAGTTCCCTATGCTAAGCAGAAAAATGATCTATAGACCAGAATCTCCCCTACATTTCACACCTAAAACAAACTCTGCTGGATGCCTCTGCTGAAAGGCCTGTCATTGCCCCAGATTGAAGATGCCCAAGGATTCCCAATCCTGTCTCATTCCGTGCTATTGTTGGATTTACTGTTTTAGCTGATGACACCAGCATTTACCTATTCAAAGAAGCTAGAACCTGGGGCTTCCTTGAGTTCTCTTCTCACCTCATACTAGTTATGTTTTTAGGTTGCTAAGGAACAGAAACGATTGATCATGTACCTGAAACTTGGGGCAGAAAGAAAGGCCAGTATTGAACGGGAATGAGTCAGGTCTCATAAGAAGCACAACTGGACCCAGAGCACGTCTAAAGCTCCCAAGATCTCATTTCGGGGGCATTCTTGGCCATTAGTGTGACTTCATTGTTTGTGCTATATTCATCTGTGACAGTTGACTTATCTTGTCCCCTACCCTGTGTCTTTTCTCTAAGCAATAGTTTACCCTCATACCTTGGGCTTGCTGTGACTTCTCATATTTCTAGCCCTACTTTTTCTTTCTTGTGGCTTTACCTAGATGTTGTATAGGCCTCTGCTTCTCCTCTTCAGAACCTGTTTTCCTGTGTTGTTTTGGGTTCCTGGACACCAGGCCACATTGGAGGGCATCCATTAATTTATTTCAAAGTCTCCCTTGTATGAGGTGCCCACCCACCCCCCTGCAAGCAGCTGGCACAGCAGCAGCAGGTTAATGCAGTGTGAAATGTGATCTCTTTTGCTCCACAAATGACACGAACCAGACCTACATCTTCTACTGGGGATGCGGGTACAACAGGAGCTGTGATTGACGTGGTATGTTTCTTGTTCTATCAAGGCCTATCTTCTAAACAGTTTTCCAAGCCTATATCCTTCTTTGTGTTCCTAATTTCAGTGTTTGGGCTCAAGTCCTTTCCTCTCATCTACCCTGTAGTGAGACCCCAGTGCTTTCCTCCACGCAGCCTTATTCTTTAAAACTGATCTTCTGCATAAATGATAGAATGATGTAACCAACACTCAGCACAGGCAATTTCTCTACTGAAAGCTTTCCGTCTCTTCTTCCTTTGTTATCCCCAGGAATACTTTCACTTTTCTTTAACTTGGCTTTCCCTCTGTGTGATCTTACAGAAACTTAATTTTGTTTCATCTGTCTGTTCCCATCCTGTCTTCCTCTTCCTCTTTGTTCCCTAACTGATGGTATTTTAAGTAGTGTGAAACACCTCTGTATTTAATGAATAAAATTTGTTACTATTTTTAACTAAAATGTCAGCTGAATCCTACTTTCATTTGTCCTTTAAAGGGAATGTAGAAAATCTAACCTAATTTTGTTGTTCTTTTTTATTTTGACATGATTATTTTTCCCCTCCGAGGGTTGCTGCCTTATCAGCCATATCGTAAAGGATTGCAAAAGCTTCCCAATCATCAGCTGGAACTCAGTCTCATCCAGATCCAATTCATCTTCCACATTTATTTTTTTCTAAAACACTATCTGATCATGCCCTTTGCCTGTTTCAAAATCCAAGTTGCCTTTCAAGCTTATTTTCTGCTTCCTCCTCCCCCTCATATCAGACATCTCTTGAGTCCTTCCCCAGGGTCTTTCTGTGGAGTGCTTTATCCACAGCATCCCCAGTCCCAGTGATGGGCTCCTGTGTAGAGGCTGTTACCATTGCTCGGCTTATTCTGCTAGAGAGCACCACACTAATTTAGGTTTTGGTTTTAACATTTGTCTACCCATTGGATGCAAACTAATTGTTTGGAAAGTGAAAAATTCAGTTGACTTGCTATCTTTCTTATTGGTACCAAGCTATTTATTTAGCTGTCAGGATGCCAAGCCCAAGTTGCCAGTCACTGAGACATGTGACCTTTTGTGAGCGGGTTATGTTCCATTCATTTTCACTTGGACTTCCTTCCCTGTGTCTCTCTACTCCTGGGAATGCAGCCCTGTGTTTTTCCTG